CCGATGTTCCTGCTGATATGGAGGCCTTGGTTGCTGAGAAGAGGAGAGAACTGATAGAAACGGTTTCTGAAGTTGATGACATACTCGCAGATAAATTTCTCAACGATGAGCCTATATCTTCTTCTGAGCTGGAGGTGTGTTGGTTGAAAGCTTATGACATTCTGACCATTTAAAATATCGGCACTCCCTCACACTGTAGTGTAGCACATGTAATTACAGTGAGATCAGATTTGAATTTAACTGTATAGGATTTGACAAATAGGTTTTGATAATCACTGGATGATATTTCTAATTTCCTAGGGTTGTGTTAAACCCATTTCCTTATCTTTGAATTATATTGTGTTTACATATCATTCTTTCCCCTTCAAATTTTTTACTGTAACCTGTTTTCTGTTATATATGTGCAGGAAGCGATTCGCAGGGCCACTGTAGCAAGGAAGTTTGTTCCTGTATTCATGGGTAGTGCATTCAAAAATAAGGTAATTGCTTCTATGAATATAAAGATGATATCTCTTAGGGGGAAAGGTTATGCATTTCAATTAAGTTTGATTGAATAATCTGGTACAGCATACGTGTTCTCTTGCACCCATGAATGCATGCATAAAGTTTTTATTTTTAACAATGATTATGGCTTCAGTGGATTGTCATTCTATGTTTTGCAAATTTTTCATCTCTTACAGGTTTCATATTTTTCATTTGCAGGGAGTACAACCCCTTCTAGATGGCGTTCTCAGTTACCTACCTTGTCCTACTCAAGTCAGTAACTATGCTCTTGATCAGAAGAACAATGAAGAGAAGGTATTCAGCTGATGAATATTAACATATATGAATATATATATATATATATATATATGCATGTAAAAAAAGAAAAATGCAGGTGCTAAAGATAATGTGTTTCAGGTAGCACTGAGTGGAACTCCAAATGGACCTCTTGTAGGATTGGCTTTCAAATTAGAAGAAGGACGTTTTGGTCAGCTGACGTATTTAAGGTATGACTGCTAGATGATTCTGTATGTGTTGGCACTTGGCAGTTTACAAATTCTATCAATATTTTGTGTCTTTTTCTCATCGTGCAAGAATTCATTGATGCTAACTCTTGCTCTTTCCTTGATGAAGAGTATATGAAGGAGTGATTCGGAAGGGTGAATTTATCATAAATGTGAACACCGGAAAGAAAGTAAAGGTTAGTCGATGGTTTTGGTATGTTTTTCACATTTTTCTGCTTCATCAAGATTGATGTATAACCTTACACTTTTCATACTCTAGATTTTATCATCTCCATCATGATAGCAGACTCATAACTACATAAGGTCTGAATGTGTCATATCAATTAACGTGGTCTTGTTTCACCCTTTATCCCTTGCTAGATTGCATCTGATAGCCGGACATGATTTTATCTGAGACTGATGACCTGACATTTTATTATCTTGGTTTAGGTTCCACGCTTGGTTCGTATGCACTCTGATGAGATGGAGGTTAGAAATATTCTCAATCTTTGTCTTTGTCCTTAGAAGAGTATTGTGTTGAGTTATGAATGTAGTTCTCGCAGTATTATCTTGTTGGCATACTTGTGCTTTTTTTCTCCTTGCAGGATATTCAAGAGGCACATGCTGGGCAGATTGTAGCGGTGTTTGGTGTGGATTGTGCTTCAGGTACGGTTTTAGTTCGTAGTTGTACAAGCTCAAACTTAGCTTAAGGTTGATTCCCTTGATAATGATTTTTCTCGGTATTATTTCCGAAACGTGGTTTTGTTCTCAGGCGACACATTTACAGATGGATCAGTTAAGTACACAATGACATCTATGAATGTTCCTGAACCGGTTATGTCATTAGCTCTTCAGCCGGTTTCAAAGGATTCTGGAGGACAGGTGAGTTTTTCTTTTCTGTACCCGAAAAACTACCTGGCTTACTGACCTTCACATGTTTCCTTTGGTTTTCTAACACCTATTTTTTCTGTGATAGTTCTCAAAAGCATTGAGTCGGTTTCAGAGAGAGGATCCTACCTTCCGGGTTGGGTTGGATCCTGAGAGTGGCCAGGTACTTATCTCTCTGTGAACTTGGTTTCTTTATCTGGGTCGAACGGCCATATCTTTTACCCTTCCGTAGGAAAAGAGAAAAATGTCACTATATAAATTATTATTTGCTGAAAACTCAATCTTGATGAGGCAGACGATTATTTCTGGGATGGGAGAGTTGCATCTGGATATCTATGTTGAACGCATCCGAAGAGAATATAAGGTGCCTGATGTTTTTCCTCCACGGGATAAATGTCTTAATGGAAAAATATAGCTAGTGTTTCACTTAATCTTTTTTTGTGACTTTAAACAGGTCGAAGCCACTGTTGGAAAGCCCCGTGTCAATTTCAGGGAGACCATAACTCAACGAGCTGAATTCGATTATTTACACAAGAAACAAAGTGGAGGACAGGGTCAGTATGGTAGGGTAATTGGGTAAGTATCAAGAACTTGTGTGCACTGTTATGTCTCAACAGGCCTATCGGCATCCTTGTAAACCGGCCCTTATCGTGCTCTGAATTGTTAGGTATGTGGAACCACTGCCACTAAACTCTCCCGTGAAGTTTGAATTCGAAAACATGATTGTCGGTCAGGTGATTCCGTCTGGTTTTATTCCAGCAATCGAGAAGGGATTTAGAGAAGCTGCAAACTCGTGAGTAGTAGTAGCTTCTGTCTGTGACCATTTTACATGTCTTGTATATCGCTTACGAAGTTGAAACCAATCTTCAGGGGCTCGTTGATTGGTCATCCAGTCGACAATCTTAGAATTGTTTTAACCGACGGCGCTTCACATGCCGTAGATTCCAGTGAACTTGCCTTTAAATTGGCTTCAATATATGCTTTCAGACAGGTATTACATCAATCTCTAGTATCCAATGCAGAAACTCTTGCGCCTTTAGATACATTTATGCATGTATACGTTGGATCAGTGTTACACAGCAGCGAGACCGGTGATATTAGAGCCAGTTATGTTGGTTGAGCTGAAAGTGCCTACAGAGTTCCAGGGGGCTGTTGCTGGTGACATCAACAAGTGAGTTTTTCTCCCTTAAAACCCTCCTCTTTTCTCTCTGACATCAGGAGGACGAAGAGAACTGATTGATCTTTCATGAAAATGGAATTTCAGGAGGAAAGGTGTGATAGTTGGGAACGATCAAGACGGGGACGATTCTGTGATCACGGCCAATGTAGGTTTTTCTTTAAAATGTTTTTTCGCGAAATTGGATTGTCGAACTATCTAAAAATCACGAAATGGGGTTTCAGGTGCCACTGAACAATATGTTTGGGTACTCGACGGCATTAAGGTCGATGACACAGGGGAAAGGTGAATTCACAATGGAGTACAAAGAGCACTCTCCGGTTTCAAACGACGTCCAAATGCAACTGGTGAATGCCTACAAGGCCACCAAAGGAACTGAATGAGAAGAGCTCCAGGGAGTTTCCCAGCTACCCCTTCTTTTTTTTTTTTTCCTTTTTGTCATAATCCATATTTATTCAATAGCTAATTTCATATTTGGTGATCCAACATTTTTGCCGTATTGCTAAAATAAACTTGGACACCGCCCAATCATAATGTACTTGTGGGTATGTAATTTCATGTACTGGGATTCGATGCTGAGTATTAGGAAATGGAGATTACGATACCTTTGCCTTTGGTACGTAATTCTCTGACTTATCACCCAATCCAATCGCCACTCGTGCAGGTGCTAACAATTATATTCGGATTGCTTAGTTGGCTTGTGTTTATTTAATATATTAAATCGGTTTGTCAAATTGACTCATTTATTTGAAAAAATTATAAACTAATAAAATAAAATAAATATGAATCAAATACGAATTAAAAAAATCGTATTTAAAAATTGATCCGAATTGAACATAATCTTATGTAAAAACCAAATCCGAGTTGAATAGAATGCAATATAAAAATCTGATGCAAGTCAAATAGGAATTGAACGGAATCTTATTTAAAAATTGAATCCGAATCAAACACAATTATATGTAAAAACTGAATTCGAATGGAATATGAATTGAATGAAGTTCTATATAAAATCCAAATTTGAACCTAAATTGAATCAAACGAAATTCTTTATAAAATATCGGTCTAAATCTAACAAATCTTATATAATAAACGACTCTAATATAAAACCAAATACTAAATCGAATTGACCAAATTCGAACATAATCAAACCGAATTCGATATAAAAAATAAATGAATACGCTTTTTAAAATATTATTAAAATATAAATGTGTATAATTTAAAATAGACATTAATTTATAAATGAATTAAGTTAAATGATATAATTGGTTAAACTAGTTAATTCAACCCATTGATTATCATTATTGGGTCAACCTAGCCCAATACAGTAAGTAACTCATCTATCCTATTTTGCGTTAAATGGGTTGGGTTAACCAATTAACATTACTACAATTGTGGATGGTGGGACGAGATTGGGTGCGGTTGTACCGATTATCTAACCATCAAGGTTTGATATGTCGTATGTATCTGAGCCAATCAACCGTTCGAATTTATCTCATTCACATTTAGAATACCCTAAATGGTTATTTTAGGTATTTGGATTATGCTATTTTGGTTTTAAAAAGTTTATAACCATTCGATTTTTGTTTTCATTTTGGTTTGATCGATTTGCTTCAATTTCAGTTTGAATTCGGTTCGAATTAAGTTTTATTTATATAAATATTTATTTTTAAAAAAATAAGTTTTTGCTTATTTTTTTATTTGCTTCAAATTTTTTAAATTTTTAAAAAATTGTAACCATTTGTCTTTTGCTCTAAAAACAACATTTTCAGCCGTTTCTAAAATTTAAATTTCACTTTTAATATTGCAAATAAAACTTTCATGATTTTAAAATATTATTGTAGTAATTTATAAACTCGATTATTAACCCATAGATGTAATAATTTCAATCTTAGGGAGAAAATCATAAGATTATCTAAATGTTAACCAGATCATTCTAAGTATGAAAGAATCAACTCTATAATGTAGGATAATTATCCAACATCTTTCTTTTGTATAGCTATTTAATCATTAATATCTAAATATTTTATCCATTTTTTTCTTGAAATTGTAAAATTTTATTTTATCTATAAAAAAATATTTTTTCCAAGATTACAAAATCAATTCAATATAAACTAACGGTAATTTCATTAAGAGAATATGAAAAATAATTAAAAAAAAAAGAAAAAATATGAAAGAGAAGTGATATTCTCTTCTTAAAAGTATTACTTCCTTCGTTTATGAATAGATATCGTTTTATAGAATATGTTTTTTGTTTAATATATATCTTTTTAGACTTTTAGGTGATTTTTTACAATTTTTTTATTTTTTCCTAAATTTAAAATATTCAATTTTTAATAGAATATTAATGAGAACATAGACATATGACATTTTTTTATAATTTTTTAAACTAAAAAAATATAAAATTATATCTATAAATAGAGGGAACAGTAGAGTTTACAAAGGAGGCTCAAATATTTACATTGAAATTTAATTAAATTTTATAAATATATTTTTTAATATTAAGAGACCGATGTCTATGTATCTTTTAAGAAAAAAATGAGAAATAAATAGGAAATAGTATTTACCATAAAAATAATTTAGGATTGATACCTACTAATTCGTGATCCGGTAATTGAGAGATGATAAATTCATTTCAAATTGATAGATTCGATTCCATTAATAGAGAGGATAAGTATAATTAATAATATAACTAAAGACTGATTGCGAATCTAAAAGATTAAGTGGGTGGAGTACTTATTTATAAAATTAACCCAAAAATCAAATTAGGGTTGGAGGATTTTTTACTAAAATTTAATGGGCCTTTCATGCCTCTTGAGAGGAATGGGCTTTGTAGTTTTTAGGTGAGCTTCTAAGAAGTGGATTGGCATGAAGCCACAGCATCCAGCAAAAGAAGTGGATGACCAATCAGGATTTGGAAATTCAACAAATAAATTTCATATACGTATTTACCATTTTTTTATAAGATCGTATTTACCATTTTCTTAATAACAGTGCATGCATGTAATAATTTAGGAATATTTTTTTATAAAGTAAATATAACAACAAAGTAAATTAGGAAAATGGTATATTTTGCTCTCTGTCAAAGATGGGAAAAATGTTGGAACATCGTATTGGAGCACTGGTACAAGATTACACCTCCTATTACGATGTATAGAAAATTTTATTTCTATATTAAAACTAAATTAAAATTTATATATTTCTAAATTAAACTTTATCAAATATAATACAAAAATCAATACAAACAATCATATATCCTAAAATAAACTTGTTATTCACATGCATATACTATTATTAGCAACATTGATGAAGAGAGTTAATTAAGGTAAAAAAATCTATCATAATGGTAACAAATCTTAAATACTAACAAATATGTTAAAAATTTGAAACCTTAGAATAAACCATAATAAAATTTTAAAATCACTAATTATGATTAAGGATTTTATAAAATTACTGCCATTAAATTCAAAACAAGCTATTATCACAGAGCGCCATATATATATATATATAATCAGAAAGGGGGAAAGAAGAGAGGAGGAAATATTATTTACCATCATATAATTTCAGCTATGGTGTCCAGTGGTATTCACCTTCTTGTCGCGCTCTCTATTATTTTCACAATTTCCCTAAGGCCATGCTACTGCCAAAACCTCACCGTACAAGGCAATGGCTTCGCCCCCGCTAAAGCCACTTGGTATGGCGACCCTCAGGGAGCCGGAAGCACCGGTAATCAAATACACACACGAACTTAGATTCTTCCTTGGTAAAACATATAAATAACATATATGTATGTGTATATAGGAGGGGCTTGTGGATATACCGATGCAGTGGCGAACCCGCCGTTCGAAGGGATGATTTCAGCCGGAGGCCCTTCATTGTACAACGATGGTCGAGGGTGCGGAACTTGTTACGAGGTTCCTTGATCTTAAACTCTTTCTTTTTTGTATAAACGTTTTAGCGTTGTATTTGTTACGGAATTTATATTTGAACTCTTTTTTAATAATGTTATATAGATTGTATGCACGGAGAATCCGGCATGTTCGGGAAAACCCATTACAGTGGTGATAACAGACGAGTGCCCGGGCGGACCATGTGCTTCCGATCCGGTTCATTTCGACCTCAGTGGCACGGCCATTGGTGCTCTGGCCAAACCCGGTCAGGATGGCAACCTACGAGCCGCTGGTATTCTGAATGTTGAGTATAGCCGGTACGTACTTTATACACTGTATCTTACTCATGCACTCATGCATACATAATAGAATTAGAATCATTACGTGAATGCGTCTATATTCTATGATAACATTTTTAAAACCAGTTATTTTCCATAACGTTTTCATGCAAACGCAATCATACAACATGTTGGACTAAATTATAACTTCTTTACTATTGTATGGTTTTAAATTTTTTTTAATCGTCTTAAGTGTGTTAACATTTGGTTACACCAAAAAAAATATGAAGGTCGCCGTGTTCCTACCCGGGGACTAATATAGCATTCAGAATGGACCCCGGAGCAAACCCTTACTACATGGCATTTGTGGTCGTGTACGGTGACGGTGACGGCAATTTGGCCGCCGTGGAGATCCAACCCGCCGGCAAGAACTATATGGCCATGCAAGAGATGAGGTCCGCGGAATGGAAGCTCAACTCCGGTGACCCTTTGACCGGACCCTTTAACGTCCGTCTTACCTCCGGCGTGTCCGGCAAGGTCGTGGAGGCTAATGCTGTAATTCCAGAGAACTGGAAGCCTGGTGACACTTACCGCTCCGTCGTTAACTTCTAGTGTGTCTTCTGTTGTTTTGTTAATTATATTTGATTGGCGAAGGCCATACATAACATATCAAATTGTATTGGATAATAAATAAAGATACTTTCTTCCGCTCGAATGATTTTGGTCAGTCCAAGACTGATAGCATGCCAAAATGACAAACAAAAATGACTTCATTTTCCGAGTTTATGTGTTTCGAGCAATTAATTCGATAGTCACCTAAGTAATATATGATTGAAGGTGAATGTAGATTTTAGATATTGAAGGTGAATGTAGATTTTAGATATGATTGAAAATAATAATGGATACAATATATTATATCAAATATAAAATAGATAACAATACTGTATTATCATTTTTAAGATTGATTTTTTTTTTTCATTCTTTCAAATTCAATCTTGAGAGAGAATGTTGAAATAGGAAAATAAATATATCATTGGAGGTGAAGTATATTTTAAATATGTTTAGAAATAATAATATACACAATATATCGTATTAAATATTGTGTATCTTATTTGCTAATTTTCTCATAAATATATAAGTTGTTTTCGTTGTAATATCACAAGAATAAAAGATATAGTAATAACGTTATTCTGTTATTTTCTTTTCTATTCTATTTTCTTAATTTTCATTTACTTTTCGCATTATAATTTTCAATATTTATGTCACCCCAACTAATATCTACGTTTGCATTTGAACCAAATTAATTACATCTCAATTCTTATTTGAAACTTTCAAATTCATTATGATATTAAACAAACAAAAAAAATTCGTGTAGAGATCGAATCTTTTCCATCTTTTAAAATTCGATTTGATTTCTTAATTTTATCGCAGTTTCCATTTGAAATCTCTCAAATTCTAGCGTGCTCCTTCAACGGAAAATAGAATGGGTGCGGTTAAGTGGTCCATCCAAAGTAGCTAAAAGGCCTTCAAGAGAAGAGCAAATTAGCTAAATGCACAACCAATAGGCAATAATAATAATAATTATAATAAGCCAAATCATTTAAGTGGATGATTGTTGAGATCCCGGTATTCGGTTCGGTTTTATTCGGATTTCTTTCGATTTTGGAACATCTATATTCCTTCGTGTTTTATGGTAGATATTAGCCTATTAGGTTTCGGTTAGGCCTATTTTAAAGATAAAAATGTTTATTTTCTAAAGAAAATTGCGGTTATGTTTATATTCGGATAATGTATGATTTTTTGGTTATAAAAAATTATCATAATCACTCGGCTTTTTATGTTAGATTTGGTTCGATTATGATTTTATGTCAATTGCGTTGTTTCGGTTTACGAATAACTGAACCGAATGCACAATTCTCCTTAAAACCTTCCCACGTGAATTTCAAATTTCATAGTTCAACGTGTTTCACGAAGATTCTTAAACCAATGTAGCATCATGTTAAAGCGAGACGCAAGATCAAGATACTTAGACCTCGTCTTCTCCCTTACAACCATATAAATAAACAACACAACACAACCGATTCTCAGACAACCTCCCAAAACACAGAGACATTTATGTATCTCTACTACCGGCCGATCGGAAAACCCTCTTACCTAAAGTATTTTATTTACTTTGATTTCGCCATATATATATATATATATATAACAATACAAATTCATAAACAACGAGATGTGCCAATGTTGAACTTTATGCATTGTTTTGGATGTATATGCTAAGACGGCTATAAATGGAAATGTTGTAGGTAAAGAAGGCGATGGATTCAGGACATGTTTCGTTGGACATATGCTCTATAGCCGGAGGGATATGGCCTTCTTCCACCAACCCGGAGCTATGCTGCATCTACAGAGTACCAGACCGGCTTCGCAAGGTGAACCCAGAGGCCTACACTCCTCAGATGCTCCTCATTGGCCCTCTTCACCATTCCAAGAAAGCTGAAGCCTTTCAGCTCATAAAACACAGCTCTACTTCTGAGGATCTTGAGAAAATCAAGTCGAGGTAATATAATATATATATATATATATATATAGTTATGTTTTACCAGAGAATGATTCACATTTTCAGTGAACATATCGGCGTTTGATTTGCAGATACTTGGGCTATGTGAACATGGAGTTGCACAAGGAGATATTGTAGAAATTTGCAGAATGATTTCTTTATTCATAATCAGAATAACATATAAATAGATGAGAGTCTTACATGGAATAAGTAAACTAAATAAAATAATAAATATTTCTAAATATATATTTTCCGGATTTGATAAGATTGATATATCTCGTAATATTTTTCAAGATCCGGTATATCTCAACATCCCCCTTCAAGTTGGAGCGTGGAAGATCACGAAACGTCCAACTTGTTGAAAAGATGATCAAACACATGCCGCTTGAACTACATCACCTTGCGAACTTGTGTCAATCATAACTAAAAAAAATCAAACAAACGAATGCGCTGCAACTTTGGCACCACGCACAAAAGAATCGTTTGATGATAACAAAAAAAAGGACGACAATCGCGGTGCAGAAAGAAGTCTCGAGAATAACTCTGATTCATCCGAGATTGAAAGGCAACTACGCGAAAGCGTTTAATGACAACAAATTTTTTGGCAAGAATAAGATGATTGACGGTTATGCGAATAATCTTTAGAAACATGTGGGATTATGAGAGAGAAAATTAAAAAACAAAAATAAAATGACTCTCTTATTCTTAAAAAAATTCGAAATGATATTACCACTGGATCGGTATATCAGCATCTTCATCTTCACTCTCATTATCGATCATCATTTTTATGAAAAGAACAACAAATTAGAAAAGAACCAGAGGCTCTGATACCATGTAGAAATTTGCAGAATGATTTCTTTATTCATAATCAGAATAACATATAAATAGATGAGAGTCTTACATGGAATAAGTAAACTAAATAAAATAATAAATATTTCTAAATATATATTTTCCGGATTTGATAAGATTGATATATCTCGTAATATTCTTCAAGATCCGGTATATCTCAACAGATATATCTTGAGGAGTTCGCCAAAAGGGTTGGGAGAGAAACCATAGAGCAGTTCAAGAAAACCATCAAAGATGACGAACAAAAGATCAGAGCAAGCTACGCAGAATCAACGGCATGGATTCTATCACCCGAGTTCGTGGACGTGATCCTCCATGACTCGGTTTTCATAATAGAGTTCCTTCTCAGAGCTTACGAGAAAGGAGACAGTTCCAGAAAAATTGGAGACATGCTTATGGACGAGCCTTGTCTGCAAAACACAGTCTACGAAGACCTAATCTTGCTCGAGAATCAACTCCCTTACTTCCTCCTCGAGAAACTGTTCGATCCCATCATCAAAACCCTAATCCCTAACCAACGGCTACGAGATTTCATCCTCACATATTTTCAGTTCCAGGGTTTGATCAAGGAGACCACAAAGTTCTTGCATTTCACGGATTTGTTCAGGTGCGTTCGTGTCGAAACCCTAGACCTGAGGCCAGCACAGATGTATCAGAAACCGAGCATCGGGCATATGTACAATGCAGACAGGCTAGACAGCGCGGGAGTGGAATTCAAGGTAGTGGAAAGAAGCTGTTCCTTGGAAGTGAAGTTTGAGAGAGGTTGTCTGAAAATACCGTGTTTCTGGCACTGGAGCAATGCCATTATCCGTACACTGCTTACGTCTGCAACTACCTCATCTTCTTGGATTTTCTCATTGACACACATCAGGACGTTGATCTGCTTGTCAAGAGTGGTACGTTCACTTCCATACACAGAGAGTTTAAATTAAACCCCGTCAGGAGACTAGGGGTGGCCATTTCAGTTATTAACCGAATAATCGAACCGAACCGAACCGAATAAGACATAACCGTATCCGAACCGAATCCGACATCAAAACCGAACGGTTATGATTTCCTTAAATCCGGAAAAAGCGAAACCGAACCGAACCGAACCGAATAAAAAATAACCGAAAAAACTGAGAAAAAACCGATAATTTCTTTGAGAAACTGAATTTTTTACCGAAACCGAACCGAACCTCAACCGAAAATAACCGAACTGAACCGAACCGAAGTTTACATAAAAACCGAATGGTTATAGTTTTTCTATAACCGAAATAACCTGTTGTGCGGAAGCGTACCGGGTCTCAAATGCGAGACGATAGAATCGAACGAGAGAAAATAAAAGACACCGGGATTTAACGTGGTTCGGCAGAATGCCTACGTCCACGGCGAGGAAGAAAAACAAATTCCACTATATCGGTGAACAAATGTGGAATAATAAAACACTCAACCTCACTTCCCAAATCCCAAAGAAACACCCTTTCTCTCGTAACACTCAGAAGATAAAATAACCAAAGTGTATCCAAGAACCTCACCGAAACAAATTTCTTGGATACCAAGAAAGAAACCCAAAACTCTCAAAAGAACCCAAGAATTGGTTTCTTGCAGAAGAAGAAAGCTTCTTCTACACTTCTTATTCTTCTCTTCTGAATGTTTTTATGGTGATGCTTATACGAATGGAGATGTTGGCTATTTATAGGAGGAAGTTTGCTTGATATTGTGTCAATTGAATAAGCCACGTCTCCTTCAATTTGTATGGCTCCAATTTGCTTCCAACTAACTCCATTATTCAAAGTTCCACCACTCTATGATGTCTCCTAATTGAATCCATCTCAGCAACAATCTCCACCTTGGATTCAATAACATCATCTGCAAAAACAAACGAGAAAGAATGTCTCTAACAGTGCCTCATGGCACTCATATGCCCGAAGGCGTTCAAATGTGTAGGATGTTGACCAAGTTCAAACAATGATTGAACTTGATCGCTGTGATCACCTTGGTCAGCATGTCTGCGGGATTATCAAGAGTCTTCACCTTCATGATCTCCACCTTGGATTCAATAACATCATCTGCAAAAACAAACGAGAAAGAATGTCTCTAACAGTGCCTCATGGCACTCATATGCCCGAAGGCGTTCAAATGTGTAGGATGTTGACCAAGTTCAAACAATGATTGAACTTGATCGCTGTGATCACCTTGGTCAGCATGTCTGCGGGATTATCAAGAGTCTTCACCTTCATGAGTCGTATGATACCTTCTTCGATAATCTCTCGCACAAAGTGAAAGCGAACATCTATGTGCTTCGTCCGTGCGTGGTAGACTTG